ATTATCGTACGTAGGAACATATTTTTGAGGAATTATTTTATAGAAAGAGATTAGCGGTGGGCGGAGATATGCTCTCTGCTGAGTGCTCTTGTTGTTATTATCATCATCATATTACTACTATTATTATTATACTATTACTATTTTTCGTATCTATTATCTCTGCAATGCTGTTTGGAGAGCTCTTCAAATGAACGCCACATTATTTATGTTTCACGCCAATCACTATTGTACTAAATGTCCTCGTTAAATATAATAATACTTATTACGTAAGGTTCAACATCTGTCTCCGCGACAAACAATGAATAATGAAAAATAATGATCACAATTAAATCCTATAATACTTGGCTTATCACTTGTAAATAAGATAATTAAACATGAAAGTTAAAACTCGTTCCTTCGTCCTATGCTTCGCAGTGTTATTTACTATATATTTCCAGTTTAAAATTATACAACATGGTGCTAAGAAGAGTTCCTATAGAGGGGATAGCAAACATCGTCATCAATTAGAAAATTTACTGGTAAAGCCATGGAGAAATTCTATTCGAAAGCAACCTGGAGATATTGAAATATCGGCAGCTTCGTTAGAGGCCTACACACCCGTTCCTGGTAATTACCACATTTATGGAGATAAAAACAATTCTATACACTCGTCCTCCCGGGAATATGACTTCGGTATTAGGCCTATATCAGAGGAACTGCATAAACCTACAAGGTGAGTTGCTAAGTCAAGTTATACATTCAATAGTATTGTTTCGTAGATGTATCTTGAAGTAGGTACCTGACGATGAAGGGTCTGGTTTCTACTGTATACCTGCCCTATTTGTTACCACGAAAGAGTGGCTCTATTGGGGCTGCAGCTTGGCCGCATAATTCATGACTTATTCCCAAGTTCCCAGGTCCAAATATCCAACCAACATGTTCTTATAACTTGAAACATCAAATCCTATACCATCCACTGAGACGTTTATAGTTTACATTTGTTAACAAAGACCTCATGATTTCACCTTCTGGGAGTTACAATCTGGTGTTTAGAACGTATTTTGAAGAGCCACTAATAAGTATTTATGAAACGTACTTCCCAACGGAATAACGTTGTGTTGCTATAGACGTTGTGTTAATGTCAGTTTCTGACATAAACCTAACCACACCGTTTGCGAACGTCGTTTTTTGTTTGCTATATTGGACAACGCTTGACTTGGTAAAGTAACAGTCATAATGTTGTCCCATTATTATTTTTCTTTTATATTTATAACTTCGAGGCAATAAACTCTTATTTTAAATTAAGATTTTGGATGGGAAACGCCTGAATTACAATGTGTGGGCCTATTGTTTTGCCGTTTTCTTTTAACGAATATACTTAAGCTAGGCTAATTGTTTACCTCGCTTACAAAAACAATAAGAAGAATCTTCCATACTCAGATCCAAAGCTAATGAACACAGCGAACTACCACCTTATAAGTTATTCAACGAGCGAATTGGCTTAGGCGGGAAATTGTACCAAGACGAGTTTGCAGACGATATACGGAGCTTGGAACGTAGTCTAGTAGAATCTAAGATTATTGCCGTGAACATCCCAGAATCTGGAACACAGCTGAAGTGGGAGTCGGTGCTTCAAGATGGCAATCGGGTCCTTGTGAAACCGATGAGGTAGGTTAAGCATGTGTTACGTTATATAGCCACAGACCCTCCTCTTGGAGCTACCAATTCAATTAATATAATTGGTTATCATACATACAATGTAAATACAACCTGCCATTTTTTTAAAACAAAATGAATAAAATATAACAATAGTTTCAAATTAAATTGTTCACAATCAGCCTCGAGTTGTCCATATATCCGGTTATTTTACATTAAATATAACGCCCGCACTGTCTTTTGTTAAAGAATCTATTTAGATTGCATACCTAAACGGAACCGTCTCCAACTATACCTAACTTAAAATAATGTATTTATTTCCTTTCTTCATGGCATAAGATAACCTACACAAGACGATATGTGAAAGACCTCTTTTATCCTCTTCAGTATGACACTACCATCCATTGCTCTGTGATGCATTAAACTAATTGAATCTAACATAGATCGTTGCTAAGTTTTCTTTTTTGAAATATTAGAGCTCCCAGAGGGTTCATGACCGGACGAGACTGGATAGGAGATATAGAAAGACATACCTCGGAGATTGCTGCATATCATCTCGACAGGTACGTCAAAACGACTCATCGATCATTTTTTTATTTTTCAAATTTATTTTTAAAATAATGTTAAAGTACACAAACTGTATAAATTTCTAATTCATAATCATAAAAAAATGTTTGTGACTTTTAAAGGATTCTTGGATTCAATCGCGTACCAGTAACCGTTGGTAGGATCATCAACATTACTCGGGAATTGCGGGATTTGGTGAAAGACGAAGCTTTTTTGAAAACTTTTTCGATAATGAGTAAGTTTACATAGAACATAATTTACTTAATTTTACTTTAACCCATGCTTATAGAAATGCTTAAAGTAGATCGATAACGAGTTAAAGTTATCATTATTTTATTTGTTGAAAATTATATAGTGCAATCTATCTTTAGATTGACTTGAGTAATATCTAATTTAGTTATTATGGGGGACACACTTCGCCTTATATTCGTGTGCTGCGCAAATCAACAGAGTTACTAAAGCTACCGATACGTTAACATCAAGCCCGGATCCGGTCCGAAGCCCGGACAAAAAACCCTGAGTTGCTACGTTTTTTGAACGCTGCCGTTCACATCGCGCACGGAACGCGGTTGTTCGGGTTAAGTATGTATGCGTTCGATTGGTTCGAACCAACCAAGCTTGTTGCTGATTGGTCCAAGAAAAAAGAAACGTACGATTTCAGGATGCTAATGGCTCTCAGATCCATCGGTCCGGATCCGGGGTCCAGATTATAAATCATACGAATTTGATGTGAACGGTCCTAATTCTTTGTACCACTGAACCCATTCTGAATCCGGGCTTGATGTGAACGTAGCTTAACGTTATCGTTATCGATGAAGTATAAACAGGCCTTAAAATGACAATAAAATGTTTTCATCTATGTACTTTTTAATATAATTTCAAGATGGCGAACATTGTTTCTATGGAGTCTGTAGCGGTCCTTTCTGTAAACCAGACGCAAAAATTTGCGCCGATAACGAATTACTCGAAGTTTCCATGACAACTTATGTCTTCAAACCATGGCACGAAGAAGTGAATCCTTGGACATTCAACCCAGACCGTGTTGATATGTAAGTAGCAGGTTTTGTGTATTGGGCATACATTGCATCGTACGGCGGTCGTACGACAAATCCATCTCCGCTTTTTCTGAGCGATTGACGACGCGTCGCGTCTGATTGTCGATGCAGACTGAGCGGATTGCATAGAGCTATTAAACAACTAGAGTGCTGACAAGATGGCGGAGCAATGCAGAGTTATGTATGTGTACCATCCAAGATGGCCGTCGTAGTAAAGCGCCAGCTTCAGGCTTAGTATACATATTATTACCATATATAAGCCCTCTGACTGACTATTATTTTATTAATGATAATGAGTAATTGTAATAACAAATTATTAAACTATCGTAGCCAAAACGAGGCCAATTGGAGCATCCTATTCAAAAATAAAGTACCAAGAAATGAAAATTAAAATCGTGTAGATTACGCCCATACACCGCAACGCTCGAGTTTCAAACATGATGTACTGAACGTTCTGTGTAAATTGAGGGCGCAATTGCAAACGACGGCGCTTAGGCGAAATTTGATTGGCTGAATCTATGGCAGCCATCTTGGGTGGTACACACACACAGCTCTGCGTATTTCGAACATCGAATACATTGCAGTTAGCGCTCTAGTATTCTTATTATATCTCTATGGCGGATTGTCATTAAAACGATCCGTTTGGGGCGCCTCTCGTCGCGTTGCGTTCTTTATGGAATCGCGCAGGACTAATAACCGTCTACGGTGAAGTGCGTGCCGGGTTGAGTCTCGCACTTCCGTAGGCCTTTCTGGGTTATTTGATTTTCTCAGATTTCTTTTATTATTTTTATAGATGGGGAAAAGCGAACATTTGTAATGAAGTACTTTCGGTGAGTCGAATGTTTAAGCTCGTGCCTTTGCTTTGTCTTTATGTCTGACAAAGTATTAATATTGTATGATCTTAAATATAAAGCCATACCGGATCGATACCAGTATCTGGGAATGATATCTAAATAATAATGTCTAAAGAGTAATGGTCATATCAGATCACAGAGCCACAATATAGGATCTCATCTCCGTATCCGACCAGTTTATCTAAACCCAGTTGTTTGAAACCCAGTTATATATATCCCTGGTCATTATAAAACAATGGACCTAAATGTATGTATTACATACAACCGCAAGTTAATTATAGGTACGGTATTAATTACGTGACGCAATGAGCTAAATCAATTTTTATAATGTTTGTTTTATTAGAAAGAATTTATTGGCGACGAGCACGCCTTGCTGAATCTGATCGATTCATCTATTTTGGATTTCCTGCTTCGTAAGTCAGAATAATTATTAATGTATAATATATGTTCTCATAGTGATTTTCAAACTTTCATACACACAAAATTTACATTTGTTGTCTATTGTTTTAGTTGTTATGAGTCGCAAGTGGCATATAGATAAGTCGCATGAGATAGATATATAATTACAAAAACTGGAATAAAAATAGCGAGAATAACACTGTGGGTTTGCAATCTGTTTTAAAAACAACTATCATACTAATGCTATATGTTGTAACGCAGGTAATTATGATAGGCACGCCTACGCCTATTTTCCAGACCTGGGAATGTCGGCCATGTTCCTTCATTACGATCATGGAAAATCGTTTGGAAATTTCACGGATGATGACTTGCGTATACTAGCTCCCCTTGTACAATGTCAAAGGTGAGATGATGAAAATAGTCAAAATAATAATGATAATAATAAATATAGCAGTATTCATTTCAGCCTCGGCTGCTGTTTGT